TTTTTTTTTCCAACGCACGCCCTTGCCCAGCTAGGAGTTGGACACTCTCGGACTCCGATCATCCGACGGCCACCTTACGGAGCTATCCGATCGAATCTCATCTTGCAAGGCGGTGTTGGCCGTTCGATACTCTCAGGAACAGCCGATGTTCGGATAGCAACCCGGAACGCTGTGCACTCAACATTGGCTTGGCATCGGCTTTGTCTGGTAGAACGACGGGTGTTTGTGGTGGTGGTGTCGGCGTTCGGCCATGTCCCAAATTTCGGAAGGCTTCGGCTCGCCGGTCATCTAGCACTGTGCCTCGGTATCCGTCGGCCAGCCGCATCCATCCACCAGAGCAACTGCAGGATCGTAGAGGTACGTCTGCATCTGCATTCGCCTGCCTGCAAAATTAGGCTGCACGACCAAAAAGGTCGAGCTGCGGGAAGGGCGGCATGTCGAAATCATGCACCGGGTATCGTAGAGCCGTTGCTGCCGTGCATTTTCTCTTGTCTTCGTGGGCCAATTGCAAACCCGGGGGCTTCCCCACGGGCTGCGTGGTGTGGGATTGGCAGCTCGATGCTGTCTGTCAACAATCGATTTGAGATCCTGCTGCCTTTTTTTTTGCGTCAAAAAGCCCTCGTTGATTCGAGGGCTCTGGGTGAGGGTTAAGGATGCCGTGCGAAATTCGCTCCCCGACCGCGATGACCTGTCGTCGCCTGTCTCTTCTCGTCAAGGGCAGGCGAGGGCTGCAATTTCAAAATATACTAATTTTTCGCCAATTTGGCGAGAAAAGCGGGCCCGAGCAAGCCGAATGGCCAGCCACGGCCAGCCACGGCCAGCCAAGTGTGGGTGGCAGGCGTGAGGCGTGAGGCGCATCGGTTTTGGCCGTGCAGGCTCGGAAGTGCAGCATGGACGTGCGGCGTTTCAACAGCCGCATCGCAAGCAACGCTACGCTACGCAATCAGTAGTGTCGCCCCTCTCCCTCTCCCCTCTGCCTCTCCCCTCTGCCTCTCCCCTCTCCCTCTCGACTCGCCGCCTGGTTCCGCTCCGGTTGTTGCTCGCCTGCGCCCTCCTCCCAACTCCTCTGCCTCGTCCTGCCCCCCTTCGCCTTGCCAATTGCCGACACTCATACAGCCTCGCCCTCCGACTCGAGACCCTCGCACCCTCCCATTCTCCGGCATCTCTCGCTCTCCCTCTCTCTTCTCATCCACCAAGCGGCCATCCATCCTCAACCTCACCATCACCACCTTCGGCGCCAATCCAACCACCTGCACTGCGAAGTCGCCATCTCTTCCTTCCTCGTCTTCACTTACCTGCGCCCGCAGTTCCTGCTCCATACGTCCCAAAAAGCCGTCCTGGCTGGGTCCTATCGCACATCCAAAGTGCGCACTTCTGTCTCGCTTCCTCTGCACGCCTCTGTCGCCGACTCCGCGTGACTCACACTCGTCGCTCTACCTTTCGCCGCGCGCGCGCGCCACTGCGTCTAAACCGCAGCGAACCATCCCCGGATCGAACGACGGCACGACCACCCGACGTATCCCTGCATGTGGCTATAACTCGTCTTCGCCTTTGTTCCGGTGCATCGCTTTCATCTTTCGTCGTGCACACGTGCAGCCGCTCCGTCTAGACCCTCTAGTCGAGCCTTTCCCATAGAGCCGTCGCTTCTCGAATTGACGAGCAGACTGGCCTCCTTTTCTCCCATACACTGCACCGCCCCATCTGGGTTGCCAAAGCACACACACAAGAACGCAGCTTGCCCACGTGCCAACCAGAGCAGCCGCCAACATGGGACGCAAAAAGATCAAGATCCAGCCCATCAAAGAGGACCGCAACCGCTCCGTCACCTACCTCAAGCGTAAGGCGGGCCTCTTCAAAAAGGCGCACGAGCTTGCCGTGCTCACCGACTCGCAGGTAGCCGTGATTGTGTTTGGCCACAATGGCAAGCTTGCCGAGTTTTGTTCGACCGACATCGATCTGCTCCTGTTGCGCTACACCGAGTACGATGGCGCAGCCGAGAGGAAGGGCCCACAGCACTATTTCAACCTAGACAAGGACTCGGACGACAACGATGACAACGATGACAACGACAACGACGGTCCAGACAGCGGCGATGGACCAGACGACAGCTTTGCCAGCCACAGCGGCGCCAACGGTAGCACAGCAGGCAGAGGCAGCACCAGTGGCGCCAGCGGCGCCAACAACTCGAGATCCACCCCTCGCACCAGTGGTGTCAAGAGGAAGGCGGAACCTGCGTCTCCACCCCGCACCACCCGCGCAATTGGCGTCAATCCTGCGCCCGCCAACATGGACCAGGGCGGGCTCGGCGCCGTCAACCCGCTCATGGGCGCCTCTGCCACCGCCAAGCAGACCGTCAACGCAGCCATCCGTCAGAAGAGCCAGAGCCGAACTGGCGGCCATCCTGCTGCGTCGGGCCAGCTGGCGGGCACGCACAACTTTGATGCCTTTTCGTTTGGCCAGCCGTTTGCACCCACAGCGGGCATTGCACAGGGCATGCCTGGCGGCGGCTTTGGTGGCATGCTGCAGCTTCCAAGTCAGCCCAGCTCGAGCGGCGCCTCTGCCACCAATCTGACGCGAGCGCAGACCATCGCCAACATGTCGATACCCATGCCGAGCAGCGAGCGTCTGCCGTTCTTTGTGCAACCTGCGACGCCTGGGTTTGGCCTGACACCCGGCGGCACCGTGACCACGCCAGGCGGACGACGCTTTAGCTTCTCGGACGTCTTGACGCGCGGGTCTTCGGCAACTGCATTGCAGCGCCCCGTGACGGCCAACTCGCTGCTGGCGTCCAATTTCCAGACCATGGATGCGTTCAGTTTTGCCACCACGCCCGCAGCTGCTGCGGCGCATTTCGCTTCCATATCGCCCAGCGTCACGCCGCAGCCGCCAGCTGCTTCGCTGTCCGCTGCCAACACTGATGCGGCCAGTCGCCTCGAAGCGTCACCGACACCTTTCCCAGACCTTCGCTCCAACGCGCACCTCATGACGCGGCCAGCTTCGACGGGCATGCCGCCTACAGGTAACAACAGCTTCAACCACCTCGGCTTTGGACAGGCAGCAGGCTCTTCGCTGGCCATTGGGCCCAACGCCGCCGATTTGCACACGGACTCGCCCGCCAACATCTCACGCCCCTTTACCGCCTGCGCCAACCTGGACGCACCGAGCGCGTCGAACCATCTCGCACCACCCAATGCCTTTTCGGGCTCGCTGGGCGCACCAGGAATGCACGCTAGCTCGGCTTCGCCCATGCCTCATGCGGCATCGATGCCTGGTGCTTCGGCGATCATGTCGAGCTCCTACGGCGCCAGTCCGTACGCAACGGCCGCAGCCGAGCTCAAGCCATCTGTGACGCCTTTGAGCTCAGCAACGCCGGAGCTGATCCAGCCCATCGTGCACGCAGCCCCGGCGGCGGTGCCGAGCGCTCGTGCGGCATCCATGTCGACCGATGAAGAGACGCCGCCAGTCTCCAGGGTGGCTGCACCGCTGGATGGAGCCAAGGCGGGAGCCGGTGGGCCCTGGCCGACGTCCAACGCGACATTTGGACGGAAGCCGGACGCAGATGGGTCGGGACAGGCGACGCTCGTGCAGCCGGTGCCGATCAATCCCATCCAGCCGCTTGGCTCGGTGCCGTTTGACCTCAACTTTGCTGCCAACCCAACGACAGGACTGTAAGGACAGCTTCCCACCACCGCTTCATCCAACGTACAAACTGTATTTCTACGTGTTCCCCCTCTCCGACATCGCACAACACGCATCACCCCATTGCAACAGGCACACAAGGCTCACGGACCCAAGAATCCTCGACGGCACCGCACCATTCACGCATATGCGACCGTCGTTGGCGGGAAAAAAAGACAGACGGACCGATCGCACTGGCTCCGCCCTGACTGTAACGATAGTTTAGAATCGCGGGCCCTGGATAACTCTAATCGTAAAGCAGACATCATGTGGTTTTGCGTTTGAGCTCAAGTTGCTTGTGCCTTACACGTGAGGAGGGTGAGGAGGGGCAGCCCCGTGTGGAGCTGCAGCCGTTGGGTGTTGAAGAGAGGGGGCCGAAGGGACCGAACGCGACTGGCGAAATTCCGCACAGCTGCCACAATGGCCAACGCAGCTCTCTCTCGCGCGCACGGGCTCAGCCAGCAGGCGCGCGACGCAGACTTCCAACTTCACACACCTCTCTGCGCAACTTGGCTTTCCTTCATATCATACTCGTGTTTGCTTCCGGCTCCCAAAACGATTCGGTCAGGATACGCTACGCCATCTCGAAGCTCGGCCATCAGCCACGAAGAGCAGCGCCCGACTCCAGCCGACTCACTGTCCTTACGACTTGGACCCGTTATCAGCAAACCGCTCTCGGCCCCCGGCCCGTTCGCGAGCATCGCATCTATCGCCCTTGGAGGCTACCCTCACCCTCGGCTGCGACTGCGACTGGCTTCAGAAGCGCTGCTTTGCGGAGCACGCCAGAACCTACACCATGTCGCCGCGACGTGCGGGCAGAGCGCGGCAGCTGCTAGTGCTCCTCTCTGCATCGATAGCATGCTTGCTCGTCCTCCTCCCCTCTTTCGCCGCAGCGGCAGAGCCAGGCGTAAGCGTCTCTCGCTTCGCCCATCTGCCATCCAAGATCTCCTACTTTGACGATAGCACCGTCGCGCTCTACCACGACGCTACGCAGGGCATCGTCTTCCGCTCCGAAGATGAGGGCAAGTCCTGGTCGCCAGTCTCGGGCTCATCCAGGGGCAAGGCGGCCATGCTCGTGCCTCACCCTTTCGACAAGAAGCAGGCCTTCATCCTCTCCCGCGAAACCACGCACTGGCGCTCCATAGACCGCGGCAAGACATGGCAGGAGTTCCTCACGCCCGAACCACCCGCTACGCGCGCAGGCGCTCCCATGGAGTTCCACGCAGACGAAAAGCACTGGGACTGGATCATCTTTACGGGCAAAAAGTGCTCCATGTGGACGCCGTGGGGCGGCAGGATTTGCCACGACGAAGCCTACTACACCACAAACGCCTTCGCCACCAATCCGGCCCCCTTGCTCGAGTTCGTCATGCACTGCAACTGGGCCAAGACCACGCCCGAGATGGAGACCAGCCCAGACGCCATGAGCCGCATCTTTTGCATCGCCTGGGAGGACGCCAAGGAGGAGCGACGCGCGCCCGCCTCCGGCGCCACCAGGCTCTTCCAGTCCGACGACTTCTTCAAGTCCAGGAAGATGGTCGAGCTCGACATGGGCCGCAATGCCAAGCACTTTGCAGGACTCGGTCCCTCCAAGCGCTTCCTCGTCACCGCCCTGCGCGACTCGCAGGGCAGCTCGTCCAAGGCCGGCACCGAGATGGCGCTCTTTGTCACACGCGACGGCGTCAAGTGGGAAAAGGCGCGCTTCCCGCACGGCTCGGAGCTCAGAGAGAATGCATACACCGTCGTCGACAGCACCTCGCACTCGATCATGATCGACGTCGTCGACTCGATCTACGACAACACCGGCGTCCTCTTCACCAGCGACAGCACCGGCACCGAGTTTGTAGAGAGCCTCCGCGGCACAAGGAGGACGCCCCAGGGCCTCGTCGACTTTGAGCATCTCGTCAAGATCGACGGCGTCGGCATTGCCAACGTGCAGGAGGACGCAGACACCGCCGTCCGCTCCGTCATCACCTTTGACGATGGCAGCAGCTGGCAAACGCTCAAACCACCCACCCAAGACGACAAGGGCAAGCGCATCGACTGCGACCCGAGCGACACCAAAAACTGCGCCCTCCACCTCTGGTCCGTCTCGGGCAAGACCAATGTCGGAAAGCTCTACTCGTCGCTTGCGCCCGGCTTCGTCATGGGCGTCGGCACCATCGGCCGCGGCCTCAAGGACTACGACGAGTGCGACACCTTCCTCAGCACCGATGCCGGCAGGACGTGGAAGATGGTCTCGCGCGACGCACACAAGTACGAGTTTGGCGACCAGGGCTCGGTCCTCGTCATGGTCGACGACGAGGACGTCACCGACCACGTCTCGTACTCGACCAACTTTGGCAAGGACTGGCACAAGCTTAACCTCGGCGTCAAGATGCGCGCAAAGGTGCTCACCACCATCCCCGACAGCACCTCGCTCAAGTTCCTGCTCGTCGGCAGCCAGACGCGCAGCCAGGCGGGAACCCAGGATCGCAACGTGGCCATCTTCCTCGACTTTGCCCAGATGAAGAAGCGCAAGTGCGGCGAGGGCGACATGCAAAAGTGGTATGTCCAGGCGGCTGCAGAGGGCAGCTGCCTCATGGGCCACAAGCAGTGGTACAAGCGCAGAAAGCCCGACGCCGACTGCTTCATCCAGGACAAGTTCCACGATCCCGAGGGCAAGGAGGACCCCTGCCCCTGCACCGATGCCGACTACGAGTGCGACTTTGGCTTCAGCCGCGACACGCGCGGCGAGTGCGTCGCCACGGGCAGCGAGCACATCCCGGCCGGCGCGTGTGCCAAGCCCGAGGACACCTACCTCGGCTCGTCGGGCTACCGCAAGGTGCCCGGCAACACGTGCGACCCCAACAAGGGCATCCATAAGGACGAAAAGACGCAAAAGTCGTGCACCGGCAAGAACGCCCCCGAGGCCGGCAAGGTGCTGCACAAGTCGTTCACCTTCCCCTCGCTCGTCGTCGACAAGATGTACTTCCCCGAGTCGTCGAGCGTGCTCGTCCAGCTCGCCGACGGCTCGGTCTTCCACTCGCTCAACGACGGCTACTCGTGGAAGCAGCTCGTCAGCGACGGCCCGCCCGCCGCGGAAGACGACCGCTTCCTCACAATGGCGCTGCACGCCTACGACAACACGCGCGGCTACCTCGTCACCGCCGGCCAGCGCGTCTACTACACCACCAACCAAGGCGCAAGCTGGAGCTGGTTCACGGCGCCGTTGCCGGCCAATGGGCTGGGCATCGCCATCCTCGACTTCCATCCGGACAAGTCCGACTGGCTCATCTGGACGGGCAGCCGCGACTGCACGTTTTCCGTCGGCAAGGAGTGCCATGCCGAGGCGTGGTATTCGATCAACAACGGCAACGCGTGGGATAAGCTCGAGACGTACGTGCGCACGTGCTCGTGGGCGCGCGACAAGAAGCTCAAGATGGACGCACGCACCATCTTCTGCGAGAGCTACCTGGACAAGCGCGGCAACCAGCGCGACTTTTCGGCCGCCAACAAGCTGCAGCTCATCCGGGGCGACGAGTTCTACCGCCGCAAGGCTGCGGTATTCGAGGCGATTGTCGGGTTTGCGGTGTTCGAGCAGTACCTGGTGGTGGCCGAGTACGTGAGCACGACGTCGACGCCGACGCTGCGGCTGCAGGTGTCGCTCAACGGGCACGACTTTGCCGAGATCCACTTCCCGCCGGGCATGGAGCTGGGCACGCGCGCGTACACGGTGCTGGATTCGGTGACGGATGCGATCTTTTTGCACTTTACCACGCATGCCGATGCGGGGTCCGAGTGGGGCACGCTGCTCAAGAGCAACTCGAACGGCACCTTCTACGCCCAGTCGCTCGACTTTGTCAACCGCAACGACAAGGGCTTTGTCGATTTCGAGAAGATGCTCGGGCTGGATGGCGTGGCGCTGGTGAATGTGGTGAGCAATCCGGACGATGCGTCGGTGTCCAGGCAGAAGGATCTCGTCACGCGCATCACGCACAACGACGGCGGACGATGGAAGCCGCTGGTGCCGCCGAGCCGCGACGTGTACGGTCAGCCGTACGAATGCCACCAGGTCGGGTGCGATCTGCATCTGCACGGGTTTACCGAGCGCGACGATCCGCGCGACACGTACAGCAGCCCTTCGGCGGTGGGGCTGATGATGGGCGTGGGCAGCGTGGGGCGTAAGTTGGCGCCGTACCGCGACTCGGACACCTTCCTCACGCGCGACGGCGGCTTTACGTGGGAGGAGGTGCACAAGGACGCGCACAAGTGGGAGTTCGGCGACCAGGGCTCCATCATTGTGCTGGTCAACGACGAGCAGGCTACGGACACGGTGCTCTACTCGCTCAACGAGGGCCTCACGTGGGAGTCGTATGCGTTTGGCGAAAAGATGCGCATCTCACAGATCCTCACGGTCCCCGAGGACACGCACCGGCGCTTCATCCTGCTTGGCACGCCCAGTGGATCGGCGACCAAGAGTGTGGCGATCTTCCTCGACTTTTCGGCGCTCGAGTCGCGCAAGTGCGTGCTCGACGTAGCCAAGCCCGAGTCGGACGACTTTGAGCTGTGGTCGCCGAGCGAGGAGCGTGCCGAGCAGTGTCTGTTCGGACGCCAGACGTACTACTACCGACGCAAGCGACGGGCCGACTGCTATGTGGGCGAGAAGATCGTCCAGCCGCACTCGGTGAGTCGCAACTGCTCGTGCAGCGAGGCGGATTTCGAGTGCGAGTTCAACCACTACCGCGACGCGAGTGGCAAGTGCGTGCTGTATCCGGGCGTGGCACCTCTGGCTACAGACGAGGTGGGGCAGTGCTGGGCTGCGGATTCGGACGGATACTGGTACGATCGAACCAACGTTCGCAAGGTACCTTACTCATCGTGCAGCGGGGGTCAACGACCGGATCGGGGCACGGCGCATGTGTGTGCGAACAATCTTGCAGGGCATGGATTTTTGTGGTGGGCAACGGTGATCCTGTGTCCGTTTGGGCTGGCAGGGTTGGTGGGGTATTGGTGGGCCAAGAAGCAGTCGACGGTTGTGGGAGGAAGGATTCGGTTGCCGGATGGTTCGAATCGGCTGTATGCGCCCGACTCGGAGCTGGTGCAGAATCTGGCATCGGTGCCGCGATTTGTGCTGGGGGCGGCAAGTGCGGCGCTGGCGAGGTTGCGCGAGGTGGTGTCGGAGCGCGTGCCGTTTGTGCGCAACCGTCTATCGCGCAGACGCGGCGCGTATGGAGGATACCGCCACCTGTCGACCGACGAGGATGCGGCGATCCTGCGCGACTACGAGGAGGACGAGCTGGATCGATGAATTATCTCGAGCACACGGCGAAGCTCAAAATTGGAATGTTCAACCCCCACTTGCCAGTATCCCGAGGGTGTGCGATGGGTTGTACGGGGTGTTTGATTCACACGCAACATAGAATGAAGGCAGAGAGAGTCTTGTTGGGTCGGCTATGCGGATTTGCGGCTTCGGGAAGATGGTGAGCGCCGAGGCTATTTTTAGCCCTGTCAAAACCCGACCCACTCTGCATTCGACGGCAAGCTAGGGTTGCCAAAAATACGCGCCCTTCTTTTTCATTAGGACCGCACAAGCGGGTCTGAGCTGCGACTACGCCGGGTATGGACTCATCGGGGTGAATCAAGTATCGGGGGATGGCGGGGTTGAAAGCGACAGATGCCGATGAAGGGGTGCATGCTGACGCCATCCGACATTGGGGACGATGGAGGGTCAGACCCTGGGGAGGCCAGAGAAGGCGCTGATATCAACGGGAAACCGAACGGGAAACCGAAATGTTGTTTCGAGACCATTGTCGATCCTCTGGGGTGAGTCCAAGGGTAGCGGCGCAGAGCGAAGAGTCGGTCGATCATCTTCGCTTGCACAAGCGTCGGCTCTGCAAAGGTCTGGACGTCGCCAGATGCCGACGAGGGGCAAAGGCCATCGTCATCGACCGACGTCATGCAGCTTGGCTCGCTCGCAAAGTGGCCGGTGCAAAGCCATGCGTCGGTGTTGGCGCAGCGCTCGAGGACTCCCCGATGGCGCCTGAGCCGATTCGCGTTGACCGTCCACGTCAATGGCGTGCCGAGTGTGCGCCATGGAGCTGCACGATGGCGAGAGGGTGCGGGTCTTAGTCACACGCGGCTGGCGTTGCTCGCTGCTTCACCACGCGCTCACTCACACCTCGCCACCTTCCATCCCATTCTGACAGGCGCATCGCCGTTTCAACAGCAAGGCTGGGTCTGAGCCTGAAAAAAAAGAGTGCGCCCAAGCCTCCACTTTTTTTTTTT